TACCTTGTGTGTGTGAAGTTTGAACTTGATCAATCCAGACATGTCTCGGATACGGATCCAGAACTGAATTCTTTAAAACAAAATGGCCACCAGTCGGCTATTTCGAACTTGATCCGAAAAAAAAAATGACGTGCATCAAGGTCCTATTATGTTTAATGTATGTACCAAATTTGAATGAAATCCGTCCATGCATAACTGAGATCCGGGTCCGGAATGGTGAAAATGTGCGATTTCAATGCATTTTCGGCCTTAAAGCGGCCGCCATTTGGCTATCGTTAATGAGATCATGAAACAAATGCACATACATATTTGTGACATGATGTACCTTGTGTGTGTGAAGTTTGAACTTGATCAATCCAGACATGTCTCGGATACGGATCCAGAACTGAATTCTTTAAAACAAAATGGCCGCCAGTCGGCTATTTCGAACTTGATCCGAAAAAAAAAATGACGTGCATCAAGGTCCTATTATGTTTAATGTATGTACCAAATTTGAACAAAATCCGTCCATGCATAACTGAGATCCGGGTCCGGAATGGTGAAAATGTGCGATTTTGATGCATTTTCGGCCTTAAAATGGCCGCTATTCGGCTATCGTTAATCAGATCATGAAAAAAATGCATGTGCATATGTCCCATATAATGTGTGATGTATGAGTGAAGTTTGAACTTAATCGGTCCATGCATGTTCAAGATACAGGTGATCACGAACGGACGGACGAACGCACGCACACAGGGCAAAACATAAGTCCCCGTTTTCGGACTGCGTCCGAACGGGGACTAAAAATAGTTAAACTCGATACTCACATAATACCAATTATCCAGAATATGGGTAAAAGTTACCAAATGAGAGAATAACAATAAAAAGAAAAGAATAAAAAGATACAGACAAAGATGGACATTGTGAAACAAATACACATAGTTTGATAATAAATGTTATTGTTGAATAGTGAGTGCATTCTACACACACACACATTAGCCGTGTTGTATCAATTACTGTAAATTATTGTGATAACAAAATTAATTCCTTCAAATATTCCCAAAAAATGTGAACTAAAAGAGCTATATACAGTATGTACCAAATGGTTTTATCACACAAATCTTTTGTCAATACAATTGTGTTTGCGAGGAGTGACAACAGATAGTGCAACAGATAAATTATTATTTGGAGTGAACATAGAATGCACAATAGAAAAAAAAATGATTTTACCTGGAACAGCTACAAAGAATTTGACGGCATCTCTGTGTCCATGAAATGACAACTGTGCTTGTGCCATACTGCAGTAGGGTATGAAACTACCAGGGGTGACACTGTCTGACTTGGAATCTGAATACACACGTATAACGCCACCAGGTCGACAACCAGCACTACCGGCCAAAGTTGGTTTGGATGCTGTAAACATAATGAAATCACATTCAGCAATTCATTCATTGACCTACAGATGTGTTAATGCTTATATATATACAGGGTAGACAGATTTATTGAAAATACAACTATAGATGTTGTTCGTAATAAACATATTTGAAATAAATAACTACCTTTATTTACTGACCATTATAATACCATGCACTGTAACTATTTAAAGTGGTACGTTCTCATTGGTTGATTGATATTGGAGGGCGCAATAATAAAATGATTGCAGGGAGGTGTGCTTGAGGTCAAAACTGTGTGTGAATCAACAGTATCCAAACCACAAATTTACCATAATTCTTTCATTTTAGGCATCTTTGATAAGCTAAACCAAGCGTATTACTGCGCATATATAAATGGGTGGACTGTGGTCTCTGGAATGAAGTACTAGTAGGTTATGGGGTCATTTTTGTTGATAGAAAAGGATCAAACCTTTTCAAACATGTTAGCAACTATTTTAGTATTTTCCATGCATTGTTTCATTCATATTTATTTATACATGTTTATAGTTTTGTTACTGGAATGACTGTAGTAGTGTTGGGCAGTGACTCATCTACAATTAACTAGAATAATTAGAATTTTTGGGCACAATGAATGCCTTACACTAAACCAAAACTGGATATAACAAGCCATGCATTGCACAGTTCATGTTAATTATCAAATTTAAGATATATAGTTTTGTTTATAGTAATATAGTTGGAACATAAACATGTCAGAAGTATGGATCCAGAAGATGACGCTTGATTATGATGATTTTTTAACATTAAAATGATTGACATCTTGTATCTGATCGTCAAATGAGTACTTGTCCGTATTGAGAAATATTGCTCTGGAACAGCATTAATTAAAACAAAATAGCCACCAGTCAGCCATTTTGAATACATCCATATATCCATAACATTATGTAAAACGAATATATAAAATTTTAACATAATCAGTCAAAGCATGTCAGAGATATGGCTCTAAAAGTGCATTCACTTAAACAAAAAGGCAGCGAGTCAGCCATTTTGAATCTGATCTGAAAAATAAAAAGACATGAACCCATAACCAAGTTTGAGCAAAATCCATCCATAATCGCGAAGATCCAGTTCTTGAATGCCAGAAATGCTTGATTTTTGATGATTTTTTAGCACAAAAATGGCTGCCATTTGGCCATTTTGAATCAGATAGTCAAACAAATATATCTATGTTATGATGTATAATGAATATATAAAATTTGAACATAATCAGTCAAAGCAAGGCAGAGATATGGCACTAGAACTGCATTCATTGAAACTAAATGTCCGCCAGTCGGCCATATTAAATTGGATAAAACAAGCCATGCATGGCACAGTCCCCATTAGTTATTAAATTTAAGATATATAGTTTTGTTTATAGTAATATAGCTGGAATATAACCATGTCAGGAATATGATTTTTTAACATTAAAATGATTGACATTTGTATAATGAATATTTAAAATTTGAACATAATCAGTCAAAACAAGTCAGAGATATGGGTCCAGAAGCCCATTCATTAAAACAAAATGGTCGCCAGTCGGCCATTTTGAATGTTATCTGAAAAACAAAATTATTTGCATCAAGATCCCATAATGTCTAATGTATATATTAAGTTTGAAGAAAATCCATCTGTAAACAGCCGAGAAATGCTTAATTTTTAAGCACAAAAATGGCCGCCATTCGGCCATCTTGAATCAGATCATAAAAAAATGATGTGCATCAAGGTCATATAATGTCCAACATATATACAAGGTTTGAACAAAATCCATCTGTAAACAGCCGGGAAATGCTTGATTTTGATGATTTTTAGTAAAAAAATGGCCATCTTGAATCAGATCGTGAAACAAATTGACGTGCATATGTATAATATCATTTATGTTTGAAGTTTGATTGTGATTGGTCCAGACACTTCTAAGATACTGGTCCGGACAGACGCACTCACAGACGGACACACGCACGCACGCACACACAAAAGTCAATCCATAAGTCCTTGTTTTCGGACTGCGTCCGAACAGAAACTAATAAAATGATGAGCATCTAGGTCTAAGAATGTCAAATGTATGCACTAAGTTTATCCATAAATGCTTGATTTTGTTGATTTTTCAGCACAAAAGTGGCCACCATTCGGCAATCTTGAATCAGATCGTGAAACAAATTGATGCGCATATGTATAATAATATGTACTGTAGATACCCTAATTTAGGCGTTCTTTTTGCAACATTTCAATTCTTCATGGCACCAAAATTAGAATACATTTAGCCCAATTTGTTGCAAGTGGCGCCTATTCAAGGGTCACAGGGTCAAACAAGTATGATTTTTTTTATTTGCACCTTTCTGGTTTGTGGAATGTGGGGCATCAAGAATATATAACTTCTGGTTGAGTGTTAATTGGAACAGGAATTTTTCAGAAGGATTGTCAACAAAATGGAACAAGACATATAATGATGAAGTCCCAGGTGATTTATTCATGTAAATGTAAACTTTATATACAAAATAAACAAGCAGTGATCAACACATTTTTTTGTACTTGACATGAAAATTTATTATTACAGTTTTCAATACAACTGTCAAAAAAAAGTATATTACCAAAATTTTTATGAAAAATTAAAACCAAATAGTGTGCATGATATCACAGTAAAATAGTTAAGAAAAATTCCAGGAGTTCAAACATCGTCCACATTAGAAAAGTGAAAACAATAACTCACGAAATACGAAACCTGAAAAAACAAACAAGTAAAAATACGTTTCGTTTAGAACATATTTAAACAAATCAGAATCCCAGAAATTCCTCTTCATCGTCATCACTGTCACTGTTGAAAAAACGTTCAATCATTTCTTCATTGGACGAAAGGTTCTCGGAGTCGCTATCGTTGCTGGAGTCGGAAGCGTCGTCGTTCTGATGTTTGTCCTCCGCTTCTGTCAAGTTGACGTTCATGTTATCGGCTGCCGATGACTCCACCTCTTTCTGGAGTGTTGGGCATCTGTACAACTGATCTTCGCTGCCGTCCAACGAATTTGTAATCCCAGTAACTTTGAACGACTTCTTCACCATTTCCGGGTTGTCTATCAATTTCTGCCATGCACTCGCGACCCAGTCGACAACATTTTGTCTGGTTGCCGTCTTCGGTCGCTGTCCCTCTGAGGTGTTCTCTACTTGTTGTCGTATAAACGCCAACCATTCTTCTCTCATGTATTGCTTAAGGTAGAGATGCAGTTTATTTGGCTTGCTTTTTAATTGAGTAATTAGACAATGAAGATGGTATTATATATCCAACATGTTATATATTTTCTGAAAGCTTATTATACAAACTTTGTAAAACTTGTCTTTATTTTAAATATCCAGAATGCGTTTTTGATTTTAGGTCAAAAATATGCTTTTTTTGGACAAAAGTGGTTTAAAAAAAATTAGCTTAAAAACTTCAAGTCCATTTGTTGGTAAAATTACATCACTGGATACCTTGGTATACTACTAATTCAAATGCGTCCACTAATCTCTCTAACGACTTTCAAAGTCGCACAGCATGACCTCAAAGTTCACTCTTTTCTATTTTTGCATAATTTATATTACCATGTTAATTGCGGACTTGTTATTTTTGTTCCACTCGCCGTAATAAACTGTCCCGGACGCATTTTGAAGAGGGAACACCTTGTCATAATGTGTGAAATTTCGAGG